AGAGCCTTACTTGAGAGCTCTGCTCACTTTTAGACAATTACTTTTGAAAAAAAAAAGAATTGAAAAGACCACATATTCGTATTACTATACTATACTATACTATTACTCGACACAACAGGGAGGCCGTTATTTTGTATATTCCCTTGAAGCAGCCCGTGATAGACCCAGCAAACATTCCTGACGTTTTGCATTGACTTCTTAGTCTTAACAACATCCTAAACTCATTATTATAGAAGACTTGAAGAAGGCACTGAAAATTTCAGCGTATTACAAACCTAGAGTAAAATGAAAGAAATACGACTGAACAAATAAAATAATAGAACCTATAACGTTTAAAAGGGTCTGTTTTTTCATAAGTATTTCAAAATCTCTACTTCCGATTTGTCCGTGTGGTGACGGATTAAGAATACGGAATGTCACCACCCCTATTCATGCCCTGAGTGGAAGTAAACTCTGCGGAACAACAGTACTGCAAAGACAAGGAAAACTTAAAATAAACCCTATGCAGAGCAGTGGACTGTTAAAGGCTGTTGATGACTTCCGATTTATTTAGGTGGGCATCATTTGTCTTTTGATGGATTTATTTGTGGCTTACAAGAAATATAGAAATATATTAAAACACGTTGGTAGATCGCAACAGACTACTTGTCAATTTTATTGAAAGGTTCAATGACCATATTTGGTTACACTTTTGTGACAACAGATGGCGTTAGTAGTAATTTAAAAACTAAATATATTTTGATAAAACATTATCATACTAACACCCCCACTTATCAAAATAAACAAGAAATACTTAAAACCTTACATTGGAACAATACCAAGCATTTCCACAAATTTCTGGTGCTTTACATAACACAAGCCTTTTGTCAAAAGATCAGCAGGCATTTCCTCAGTAGGAATATATTTCAATTTAACATGCTTATCCTTGACAACATCTCTAATATAGTGATAGCGTACATCTATGTGCTTAGATCTATTGTGAGTATTGTGACTCGATGCCATTTTCAATGCACTTTGATTGTCACAAAATAAGACAATTGAATGCAATGCACCAGTAATTTCATTCAATAAACTTCTTAAATATACAGCTTCCCTAGAGGCTTCTGATAAGGCAGTGTACTCCGACTCAGTGCTAGACAGACTAACAGTCTTCTGTTTTCTGCTTTGCCAGGAAACAGCTGACCCTGACATTTTGAAACAAAAACCAGTATAAGATTTTCTGTCTATGACATCAGATGCCCAATCACTATCTACAAAACCTTGTAAATCCATATCATCAGTAGTATACCTTAGACAATAGTTTTTAGTACATTGTAAGTATCTCAATATTCTTTTAGCATAGTTATAACAGTTTACACTATAACAGTTATTAAATTGGCTAAGATAGCTTACAGCATAGGCAATGTCTGGCCTTGTTAACACAGCTAGATACATTAAACTGCCAATGAACTTTTTCTACATTTAACTTTGGCTCAATAGGAGTACTTTGCACTTTACAATCAGAAATTCAATATATTGTTGTTGATCAATAGTAATTACATTTTTATCTTTATTTAAATTTATTCTCATGCCAAGATACTGTCTTACAGGTCCTAGGTCCTTTAACTTAAACTCTAAACTTAATACATTTTTCAGCTTCTCTGTTTCAGATTCAACATTTGAAAATATTAAAAAATCATCAACATACAGACCAATTATTATTTTTAGAATACCATCACTTTTTGCAAACAAACATGGTTCATATTGACTGTTTTTAAAACCTAATTTACAAAGACAATCTTTCACTATGTATAAGTATGTACTCGTAACTTGCTTTCAAACTCGCCAAGATAGAATATTGTTCTTGTGGATCTCTTGCAATAATCACAGAAATAACTATTATACTAAATATTATCTATTAATTTTGATCACAAGAATGCGCCTTTGTTCAGTATTTAAGTTGTACACATTATATACTTATAGCAAACACATTTATTGGCAAATAGTTCGCCGTCTCTCCGCCCACTTCCCGTTGTGCCGCACTAGTCAAAATTATTCATAGAATTTATTATTACATTTCAGATGTTATATTATTTTGACTTAAATTGATATTTCCGTCTGTGCAACATACAGACAAAAAAGAATATTCTTAAAAATAGATGATACATTATCAAAAATACGAACTGTCACTTTTGAAATAAACTTTGGGTTCCTGAATTTACAATTTCATACTAAGTTTACAATTAATATTGTGATATTTTCAAACAAGGCCATGTTACAGCCAAGGCAGTCGAAAACATTTTAATTTTTCAGCAGTTATATCGAGCACCTTCAATTTAAACAATAATCTACTGTGTACCTTTATCAAAATTAATCAAAACATTAGTGTAAATATAAAAAAGGTTGTAAGTTTATTACAAAAAAGTTAATTTAAGGTACAGTTATGTTTTCAGTACTGTGCTAACTACTCAGGATAACAGGCCCTGCATAGTTTGCTCCCTTAGTCGGCTCTTACGATACCCACGGGATGAATATGGATGGTGACACTCACACATTGGTGACATTCTTCATCCGTCACCACACGGACAATTGTTATGGACGTAAACACGTAATTACGAATTTCTTAATTTTACCGCTAGCAACAACTGTCTTCCAGGAGTCAGTATCTATCCCCATTATGATATGGTATACATTTCTTTAAAAACAATGACATGATTCAGCAATACACTAGTCACGCAGGTATAGAAGGCGCAGTTAGCTAAATATAAGTCTGGCTTATCGCCACGCACTAAAATTATAGTGAGAGTGCCAACATTCTCTTAACATACCATCTCTGGCATCAATAACTTATGGTCATTCCTCTTACACTGAGTAATCACGGCTCTTGATGATACACATATAAATTTAAGCAACATAGTTTAAGGTATACTAGTAACTACTGTAAAATATACAGGTGTTTTTACATACATATATGTTCATATTTAAAGATATGATTTGGTTATCGAAGATAAATTTCTGTTTATAGAGAAAGGTTTGCCAAAGACTGGATGACAGTTTATTATTTAGAGTGCAAAATGGATCATTTACATGAATCGAATATTTTTACAAATATAAGATCTTTTCACACTTCTTTAAAAGTTAAATCATACTATCTAATATATAGGCCAAATAGGGTGTACTTTATACGAAAGTACCACTTCAGTCTTGAGCTGACCAGTAACGAAAGCCAGTACATTAGATAAGTCGGTTTTCACTGAATCACATCTTAGGTTCCTTCATAAATTCGGTCGGCCTACCATCATGGTAAAACATTTGGGTATGCCAATTAAATATTCAAAGCTGTCAGAATGTTGTGAAAATTAAACTAGAAAATGCTATCAAGTTATCTATATATATATAAGAGATTTCCAAGTATATAGTCACTCATCACGATCATCTCTGGAACCATTAGAGCTAAAGACTTAAAATTTGGTAGGAATATTCTTTTCACCGAATAGAGGTCAGCTAATAACGGATTTTAAGAAATTAAAAAAAAAAAAATTTAAATAATGTAAATAGCAAAACAACGTTTGCAGGGTCAGCTAGTACTTTATATACATTTATAAGCATGTATTAACGGGATCCATAAGTATTATATCCCTTTGAATTACTTCATGTTTCGACCATATTGCACTGGTTATGGCTACAGGCTTTCCTGTACTAATAATTATCTATGGTATAAATCCGTGTAGTGACGGATTAAGAATACGGAATGTCACTACCCCAATTCATCCCGTGGGTGTCGTAAGAGCCGACTAAGGGCGCAAAACAACGCAGGTCACCAGCACTGCAAAAAGAAGGAAAACTTGACACAAACCCTATACCAACCCGTCTGGCCAGCGTGGTGTAGTAGGCCAAAACCTCCTTTCTAAGGAGAGGCCTGTGTCCAGCAGTGGACTATTAAAGGCTGTTGATGATAAAATTTGTAGTTAATTTATGTAATATTTGTATTATTAATTTAATACCTTTTTGTTGTTGACGGGGTGGAAAATCCCTTCGGATCGCCGGCTCCTCGGGGACATAGGAGCAAGGAGTGTGTGCTGTTTTCACTAAAACAACCCCGACAGCCAGTCTCAACCTGCTCTGGGAAGGGTCTTTTATATTTACACCAACTGTTGTCCATTCACTGAGACCTGCATTGCCTTTAAATGAAATTGCCCTGGGAGTAAATGCTGAAATTAATTCATTACATCAAGTTAAATGAAAGAAATATATATATTTAGGTCGTCACTGTAACTCAAATAAGACAATTTATTAATAAGTTCAGTTTGGAATCCCTCCAAGCGACTCGCAGTTTTAGGTACAACGCTAATATTTCTGCTTTCAACACTTGTTTAAATATGTTATAGATTGATCACAGTAGTTTGAGACCAATAACCTAAATACAGATATACCAGTGAGTACTATATCAGTAAATATACTATCTTAACATGTGGCAGAAAAGGCAGAAATTTTAGTAGACTAGAGACAGTAGCAAAAAGACATAATTAAGATTTTATGACTGAAGTGACGTTCTGAATGATACGTATCTTATTTTATATATTTATATTATTTGAAATAAAGACACAAGTATTCCAGTCCAGTCTTGTTTGTATGTTCAGGTGGTTTTAGATTTTTCTCCATTTTGAATGGACTCAGAAATTAGAATTAAAAGGAAAAGTTTCAACTCTATGAGTATTAAAATGGGTCAAGAAATTTTCGTTAACTGTCGTTTTAGATTAATCACTATACAAATAAAACTTGGAAAAAGAGAAAGCTTTATCGACATATTTAACGTAGAAACGAACAAAATCGCTTTAACTATAACGTAGCAGTCCAGTTTCTACAAATAGACTTTCACGTAGCTCCCGACCTTGGCCGACTGAGCATATGGTGTTATTCATATGCTTCCTAAAAACTTATGTTTACACGTTCACTCAAGTCATGATCTCATTTCAGGAGCTGTTTGTATGGCCTGCTAACTGATTACGAAATAGAAGAAAATGGCTCAGAACGGGTAAGAATTACCTTTTGATTAGTTACGACGAAGATAAATAAATTTGTGCAAATAAATTTAGTTCAAGACGTCGCGAATTATGGAAGAACAGTTGAATTTTACATTCCCTCAATTGTAATAACAATTTGTTTATATTTCAATAACATAAAATGAATTCAAATATTCGTGCTGTGGTTTAGGTCGCTATTCTTCAAATATGTTTAAATGCCGTATTCTAAACGAAGATACGGAGCACGCTACGCCATTAATAAAAGTTTCCTGTTTAAATAATGACATTAATCGGATTCCATATAACCTTAGAAGTAGAATAGGTTAACGCAGACGCCCTCTTCAGTGACGATTGTCCACAACGATGTCAATTCATGTAAAAATAACAAGAAACTTGGCTGGTTTCCAGGTACGGAGCTGCACCAGTCGCTGGACACATCGGCAGAATTCCCAACTACGGAAAAACTCAAGTCAATGTAAGTGTCAATTTTTGTACAATACAACATAAAAAAGTAGACGTAGGAAGAAGATGATACATTCATAGGACTAGTGTTCATAACATTATTCTTTTTTTTTATTTATTATCGTTATCAAGCTAACCGACACATTAAATAGACACAACATTAAAAACAATAGAAGAGCTTTAAAATAATAGAAAAACCTTGTCAGAATAAATACTTTTTTTTTCGTTTTCAGCCAATGGGCTCGCAAGAGCCACCTGCATGTATTCAGAATGCCATGATGACAAAAGACAAGAAGCCTTTTACTTACACACCTGGAGGTCTCGACCTGTCACAGATTCGTACACCAAGTATGGCACGTAGGTTGGCTCGCCAGCGTTCATGGGAAGAACAAGAACAGCCACAATACGCACAACAACCTAGCAATGGTGGATATCATCCCCAAGGAGGACCAGTACCTCCTCCACCGCCGCCTCCAAAAATGCCCGTTCCTCCACCTCCTCCTCCTCCAATAGTTATTCAAATTCCCGAATCAAAATCTCCTAAACCAATTGCACTAGGTGAACGACCAGAAATCATTATTCCTGAAAATCCAATAGGAATGTTGCGAAAAACTAACAGTCCTTATCACTGGGAGGCAGAAAAAGCTGAGTTACAAAAGCTTGGACAAACACCCAAATATGTAGGAAAGGTTCCAAGTCCTTTGACAGTTAAAATGCCTCCTTCCTCTTTTACTCAACAGCAGCCCCAGAGTTACAACCCACAGAACAACTTTACACGTTCTTATAGCCACCAAAACCAGCCCGAAAGTCCCATTCATAGGCCTGAAGCTCATTATGCTCACCAAAAACCATCATCACCTCAAGGTTCACCACCGACAAGAGAAATATTGCAGCGACAAGATTCCCAGTTCAATAAAAGTCCTCAGCCTTATGCTGGCCAAAATCCAACTTTAAGGGCGTCTCCATACTCACCTAGCCCAAACAACAACTGGAGACAACCAGAGAAAAGGGATTCACCCGCGCATAGTGTAACCAGCCCACAATCACCACAATACAATAATGGAACTTATTCACCAAAAGCACAACAATATTCCCCCAACAACCAACAGTTTTCACCTAATAACACCCAATATTCACCTATCATTCAAAGCCAAAGTCCTCTTGCCAATTCCAGTGCTGTTTTCCATACTCTACCTCGCGTAGGTCAGAGAAACATAGAAAATCAGAACAGTAATACCACATACAATAATACAAAACCAAGTCCTCCAACTGAAGCTAATCCTGCACCTTGGAGAACAGCGACATTAAACAGACATCCTAGGGAACAAGAGAGTCAGCAACCTTTATATAATAATGTAAGTTCAAACCAAGAACAACCTTATGTCCCCCCATGGAAGGTCAACCAAACAAGTAACACAGTGACGAATAATGAAAATCAATACGTTCCTCCATGGAAGCAGGAGAATAAAGTCAAACAACAATATACTCCTCCATGGGTTCAGCAAGATTCTAATAATAATAGAATACAGGATAATAATTCAACACCTTGGAGACATCAGGAGCCACCATCTTCTCCACCTAAATCAAATTCAATCCAAGAGCAACCACGTTATCAATCGACGATGTCTATTCCTGTAACACCGAGAAAACAAAATTCACATCCAGAGTATAACAACACACCTCAGAAAGAAGTAGTTTACGTAAATGAAGAGCCCGTATACTACTGCCCAGAAAGCCCTAAGTCTATTCCTCCTTGGGTGAAAACACAGAAGGAAAAGACAAAAACTCCTCCTCCTGCATGGGTCCAAAGACCACTCGAATCAAGGCTAAGTCAATCGCGAGAATTGACTACTCCACCACGAGATACTAATCAAGAGCCCGAGTGGGTTAAAAAGAGCAATGAGATGCAAAGAAGTGTCCGCGAAGTTATTAGTCCACCAAAATACCAGCAACCAGTTCAACCCTCTTGGTCTACCAGGCCTTCCGAGAACCGCAAGAGCTTGCCAAGAGACAACGGTGCTGGTTCTCCAGGTACAAGAGTAATTCCTATTCAGATGGAGGTATCAACAACAGAATCAAGAGATCACAGACATGGTGGTCAGCAAAATCATCCCCAACTGAGAATCACAATTGGCATGAATCAGAATCAAAATACTCAGGATGGTCGTGTACCCTTCTCACCGCCGACTCAGCGGATTATGCGGGTATTGTCGCCACAGCTGGTAAGGTTGGACGATCCGAAGCCACAAACGGATTTGCCGACTCTGAACAAAAATTTCCAAGAGCAGCCAAAGACAAGGATAATACCGATTCAAATCGAAGGTGGAAATGGTGGAGCGAACAAAAGGTAAATATATTGTGTTATGGTATGGTTTTAAGCATTTTGGTAATGGATAGATTAGAATGTTACATCACTACTTTACCGTAGATTTTTTTTAAATATAGTGTTAAAACTTATACGACTTATGCAGTTTGACTGTCGTTTAGTGGATCTAAATGACAATCAAACTGCACAAGTCGTGTAAACAGTCAAACTGCACAATAAAAAAAAGTAGTGGTAATGTTTATTCCATTTTAATTTTATATAAATTTGTTATTTATAGTGTGAGTATAACTTGTTATTTATTTATACTCGTATTATTGATGGTTGCCTTTTAATGATATCTATATATTTAAAAATCTCATTGTGATTTACAATTAATGTGTAAATCCTATGGGAATCATTTTTATTTTCTCTTTATTTAATTTAGGGACTTTTATATAAAATACATGTCAGTCCCATGGTAATTCATAAGGTAATTATGCTACATATCATGTTACAATATTGAAATCCTCGTTTCAGCTTCGGTGGGCGGTACTAAAGGAGCTTCTGGTCCAAAGTAAACAGTTTTTACTGCACCGCTTCTCGCGATGACTCAGTGTTACGCTGCTTTATATTTAGCACTCTCACAACACGATCTAATTTTAATTTCCAACTAATCGAATGATTTTCTGCTAATTCTACTGATGCCATAATTAATTGGCAATTCAGGTTCATCACGATTTATATCAGGTTCATTACGATACTTCATAATTCTGGGTCATAGCTAATGACTCTCCATTTTACTTCTTTGCCAAATTACAATCTCAGTGTTTTTTAGTGTTGCTTTCAATTTCATCTTGAATTTTATTTTGATACTTTTGTAAAATTTGTATAATGTACAAATAATACAATTTATTGAAATAGATATGTCTAATGTCTACTAAAATAGCATGTTAGATGCTTACTGGAAAATAAAAAGGAATATCTTAAGTGTAATAAATTAACATTTTAAACAAAAGACAAACATTACTTGGGCTTTTTAATTCATGAAAAACGACTAATAATAAATTTGGCTCCAAATTGTTGAAATAGTAAAATAAAAACCGTTTACTGCTATTTCAGTGTGTACTACCACAAGTTTACGCAAGAAGGACCACCGCGACAATCCAAGGCCTTCAGGGTGCTGCAAATCATTACAGGCACAGAAGATTCCGACGACATCCAAGTAATGGCAAAAAAACAATGCTTCACTGACCTATAGATATTTATCAGTGTAAATATATTATATGGGTTTATTTACCTTTTATTAACATGTAAAACTCTAATTATAAAATAATCATTACGAAGTAATGATGATCAAATGATGTTTGTCACGAGTATGTAATGTATTTGGTTTAAAACGAAAGAAATTAGGAGTTACTAATTTATTAATAATTGTGTATAAAATAATAATAAGGTTTATAAATTTAAATTATTCTTACTATAAGCTTTGTTAAATTTTATGTATTCTAATAAAAGAAATAGATACATATTTAATTGTTAACTGTAATTGTTAGATTAATGCGAAGTATTTGAAAAAAATATATTTTTCACAAATACTAGGTTAACGATAATATTATGCAAGTATTAACGAATTTGTGTTTTATTTTATTTTTGTATAAACATGCGCTATGAACAATATAATGTAGCAAACAAAAACGTCTTGCTTTCATTTCGTGATTTCATTAATGCTCACGAACACAGCTAGACTACCAAAGAATCATTAGATGTATTATAATTAATATTAAAAATGTACTTTAAATTGTTTTATTTATTATAAGTTTAAATTATAGCAAATATAATTTATTTTAGTGTTATCGAATCTAAATCTTATTATGGGGTAATTTTTAGGTTTGTAAAAATAACAACAATTTTATATTTTTATATATTTTTGTGACTAATTCCCCTGGCAATAAAATTTTGATGTAAAATAATTTTTAACCATGAAAAAGTATTTTTTTAAGGTATGTACGTACCTAATTATCTTTTTTTTTTTGGAATTTGAGCTAACATATAACTATTCTATATATTTCTTAGACATTATGTTTTCTCTCTCTTATACATATTGTCCTAGACATATAGTATGTTATGCTGTTTTATATATATTTGGAAAGGATTCATATTGTTGCGAATACTAACTTGTAACTGAGGTTTTGTATTTCATAAAAGTGTTGGCATTTTCCATATTTTCATAAAAATAAAGAATAATTTGAGTTTTGTAATTAACATTAAATATCGTTTATATTAGTAGTGTGACTGACTATTTATAAAACCTTTTATTTTTTATATATGTATGTTTATTTTATATAAATGTATACTTTACTAAATATTAATTAATAAATATATTTTATATATTTTAATTTAAATATATATTTATTTACTTTATATTTATATCTATTTATTATTATATCTGATCATTTATTATTTATTTTATAACCGATATACTTATTATTATATTATTTTATAACGCCAATATGTACTATATTATATAATATGTAATTAGTAATTTATGCTTAAATATAGTCAGTTATATTCGCTATAGTATTGGTATTAACAAATAATTGAAAACGGACGAGGGGTGTGGCAATCTAGTCAGTGTGATCTTTCAAGTATATAATTATATACGTTTAGGTATTAATTATTATATTTTATGTTAATAAATTATTATAGATTTTATATTTTGCTTAATCTAATTGCGTATAAAGTAATTAGGTGAAATTTATTTTTTAATAAAAGTTTCAAAACTATGTTTTGATTTTTATTATTTAATGTTACTTATATGGGTCCCAAATTAAAACTTGTTACAGTTTTTTCCCAATGTAAGTAACTGTTACAGCAGCTTTTTACGTATCTTTAAAAAATATCTTTAAATAATTTGTTTTTAATTTCGGTAAAGTTTTTTATATATATTTATATATTGATGTAAATAAAAGAGTATCAGATTGGCTGGATAAATATAATAAAGGCTATTTTGTTGTAAAGGTGAATCAGGAAAGGAGTGCTGTGTATAGTCAATTGGATAAATATTTATTTTTCATAATTTCAATATGCTCAATGACATTTGTGCAATAGAACCAGTCGATTCGAATAGTAAATCAGTTTAGTCGTAACAACGAGACCATAGAGACGAACATAATATAAGCATACGTTCAAGTTAATTTTATTACCCTCCTATGTTGACTTCTTCGCAACCGAGCATAAAAACTTTTATACAACTCGAAAAATGATGTTTGTGTGACTTATTTACTACTTTACTTACTTACTTGTACTTAAACCTCACTTAAATCTCTATGTTGTAACTTTAAGAGAGGCAAAATAGCTTTTCAAAGTTTTATACTTAAGAGGAAATGAAGTAGATGGCGCTTTTTTACATTATTGTATTATTCTTTTAACTATAGATACATTATTGTTTTATACTTGAGACTAATGTTTAAAACCAACCTTCTTCAGGTGTTCAAAATTAAAAGCCTTTTAGATTTTAAAGGTTCTCGCTTGGCAATTGTTGATTTTTTTCCTTTTATTTTTTGTTACGCTTATATCAGATTTGATTGTGATTTTTTTGTGTCTCTCATGTCAGTGTGTCTGTCTAAGACTGTTTGTATCTAAAACTTACTGTGTTATATGAAGTTCTCGTGCGAAGTACTAGATGGTGCTTTAACTACTTTTTTACTTTTTTTACTTTAATTTACTAAGTACACTATATTTTGAGTAACTTTAAAAATAAAAGCCAGACAAAACACTTACTTAAAATGCAAACTATCAAGAAAGCAAAAGTATTTTGCTCCAATGGGGATTTGTACAAAAAATATGTTTAAATGAATAATAAAGATGATCTAGTGCAACTGAAATTAATTACTTATAGGATATTACGTAGGGTAAGGGTTGCATGGTGAAGTTAAATACTTGATGAATAGAAGTTGAAAGAGGTGTATTGGCAGATGAGATTCAGAGAGTCAGAGAGAGCGAGACTCCTCTCCTACTCTTTGTGGTAGTTTCAACTGTAAGAGGTAGTTTGTTAAACAGAAGACGCCCCAAGGCTGAAAGAAAGAACATTGATGAAGATAAATTGAATACCTGACAAATTTTTCACATGAAAGTCAAAATGCACAAAATACGAAATTTTACAAAAACGTGATTTAACTTAGATTGAATTATTATTTTACTAGATAGTCTTATAAAATATGAACTACAAGTCGAATTCTTTCCAGGTTAAGTTACACTACAAGAATTTCTTCCCTTCGATCTTTTATCCATTAAATAAAAAATATCTCTATAAAATAACATGGAAAGGATAAACCAGTATATTCATAACTCTACCTTGTCCTCAGTGTTAAGGAAAACTCGCAAATTAAATAGACACCCTTATCAACCGTGGTCACTTTTGTCACCCTTTTTTTTTTTTTTTTTTTTTTTTTTTTTTTTTTTTTTTTTTTTTTTTTTTTTTTTTTTTTTTTTCCGTGCGGAAATCCCCTCGGATACCACCTGTCGGTGGCATGTCGGACTCGAACCGACTAAAACCGCACGCCTTCGCCGGGTACTAATAGCCGGGGAACCAGGTATACCCTAGAAAGGAAGGCCCTGGTGCCCCGACATACCTCGGGTCATCTACAGACGAGTAGACGACCCCCGCCCCGTGTGGGAACCCCATGTTCCCTGTGCTCCCTGAAAGCGAGCGCGCTTCGCAACGCGCTCGCCGCCACCCCGGCCTGCTTCTGCTAGGGTGACAGATGGCCTCACCTGTCACCCCCAGGCCTGCGCTTATGGAGGACGAAGGTCGTTCTGCGACCTCCGGCGCCTGAGCCGCCTGCGCTGCCTGGCCCGTGCCCGGGCCTGGCGGGCCGGGAGAGTTCTAAACCTCTCCCGGTCCCGCTCCGCCGTCTCCTTCGCGAGCATAACTTGCTCGCAGAAGGAGACGGCAGAGTTCCACGCACTCTCGCTCCGCACGATAGCCGCAATCAGGCTATCGAGCGAGAGAACTCCCACTCCGATGGCCGCCACGAGGTCTCGCCTCTGCTCAACCCACGCCGGGCACTCTGCCAGCGTGTGGAGAGCCGTGTCCACGGTCTGGCCATCGCAGTGGTGGCACTCAGGCGTTGGCTCCTTGCGGATCAGACACAGGTGATCTCCGAAACATCCCTTCCCAGTGATCACCTGCGTCAATCGGTATGAGAGGGTCCCGTGACGCCTCTCGAGCCAATCCTCCATAACGGGTCTTACCGCCGCAATGACGGCGTGCCCGAACTTTTGTCACCCTGATTTATCCTGTAATGGATATTTACGAGCCCTGACGAAGCACTAAAATACTGTTGTAACAGTTCTTTTATACATCAGATGTACGTAAGCCAAGGTAGTAAACAGATTTTATGTGTATGATGAACGCACGTATCAGATTATATTCTGATGAACTTGGCTTTTAGTTCTCCCGTACGTACTGTTATCGCTTTTATTTGAAGTAAAGTGGGCCATTTCTTGGACCTGATTAATTGAACTTCGAATTTTGACTATGTTAGTTCTGTGAGTAGAAAGTTATACTATCTAAAAGACTATATAATCTTTAAATTTCTTTAATATTTTAAATCTTACTAACTTTCTTTTCATCGTATATTCTTTCCTCCATAACGGTGGATAAGAAACTCATAAAAAGAACTCATAAGAAGTGTACACATATTGGTCTCCTAAATTCCAATTCATTACATTTTTATCAAAGATATCACGATTTTGCTCACGCGTGAATTGTGTACGGAGATTATCGACAAGATTTGCACACGACAAAGGTCCTTCTTCAAAGATTTTCTCTTTTAGTTTATGCTAATAAATATGTTGTATCCTAATATTATTTAAAGCCAATATTTTTCATTATCTCGACCTTACATTATATAGATATCAAAAGCATATTACCTTGAAATCCGTAATTTGTTTGTTTAGATATTGCTACTAATGTACTGTAGGTTTGAAGTAAATGTTGGTATGGGGACTCTCAGTATTCGAGGCATTTCGAAGACCCTCAATTGTAATTGATTTTAGCTATCTAGTATTTATTAACTGTGTTAGTGATTTAGCTTAGTTTCTGGCAAATCATACGGTTAAACTATTTACATAATTAAGAACAAAAATAGTCATAATTAATCACTGTAGGCACACTTCCGATAGCTCAAGCCATCACTGACAATCACTTATGCGGTAACTGCAA